CACTGCTCCATCCTATGCTCTAACTCAGAGGATACAAAAGAAGAAGCCCCGGTAACCTCCAGTTCCTTCTGCTCTCGTATCTCTGAATCCAGGGCAGCGAAATCAGCAGTGAAGGAATCAGCCAGTTCCGGGTATCCTTCTTCCCTCATCATCGTCATGTGGCGAGAGAAGGAACGCCGGAACTGATCGAAGCCGCCTCCTCGGTGGAGAAGCTTCTCGATCAAGCCATTATACCAGGCGGTGAAGAAGCTGAGGTCCATACGGAAAGCCTCTCCGTCAGGATCAGTATCGGCCAAAAGGCTACGGACACGCTCGTGCAAAGAAGATCGAGATCCTACAAGCAACAACTTGGAAGCTCAGTGAACTATCGAATATGAAAAGGAAAGTCAAAAGGCAGGTTCCGAACATACCGACGCCAACGGATGTCCCATCAGGTTGAGAGCCGACAGGCTCCGAGACAGCAGCAGAAGAGGGTACGTCAGCTCCTGCAGGCGGAGTGCTCACACCACTCGGCAGAGACGGGGAGGCACCACTGCTATGAGGACTTTCAACCCCGGGGACTGTAGCAGTATCAGGCTGAACGCCTGGTCCTACAGTGACATTCCTATGTTAACCCAAATGGAAATTTGGACAAATAAGGAGAATCGGGATAAGAAGGTCGTATGAATACCTGCAATCCCCATGTCCTCAGATGCAGCCGGAATGCCAAGAGTCATAAGAGTATCGGCCCAAGCTGCTGGTCCTATGATGACACTCTCTTATTAGTCAAAATGAAAATTTAGACGAACAATTCCCATGTCCTCAGATGCAGCCGGAATGCCAAGAGTCATAAAGGTATCGGCCCAAGCTGCTGGTCCTATGATGACACTCTCTTATTAGTCAAAATGAAAATTTAGACGAATAAGAAGAATTGGGATCTGCATACCTGTAGATCCATTGTCCGCGGGCATTTGAGGGATGTCAGGAGTCATATGAGAATCAGTCCTAGCGGCTGGTCCTATGATTGCACTCATTAGTCAAAAGACAGATAAACATAGGAAAGTACAATATCCCTGAATCGTATACATACCTGCAAGCCCGTCGCTCTGAGGCAAACTGGATATGCCAGGGATAGATACCGGGCTAACTCCAATGGTAGACGCTGCGATAATCAATCATTCATTAGTCATATGAAATATCGGGCAAGAGGGAGAAAATCAGATATATACCGGTAGATGAATCGTTCCCGAAGAATGGTCTCTCGGTCCCTCTGGAAGTCTGCTCAGCCAGCATGTCAGCTAATAAGCCGGCATCCGGCTTCGAGAAGCTTGGCCCCTCCATCGCAACATCTGCAGGGTAACCCAAATGTTGAAGGATGAGGAAAGCTCAAACGAGAAATCTTCCTTCACCTTACATAAGGAAAATGACATTGGATGCGGATATACCTGAATAAGGGATTGTGGGCTCAACATTATTTATCTGCTCAAGATCGATGTTAAGGTCGATGCCCAAAGACCCATCGTGAAAAGCGTCGCACATTTGTTGCACAAAGCAATCCATGTTGTCAACGCCAGGGGACGCCGAACCCGGTGGGAGTTCGCCCTCCTCGAAGAAACCTGAAGCACAAAACATGGTCACAAATCCCCAAAAGGTAAACAACCTTGAAGCAAGAGCAATTGAATGTTACCTCCCCCTCCATCGGCGGTGCTCCCTAAGTCCACTCCACAGGGACGCTGACCGTCATGGGACTTATGGGCAGTCTTCTTCCTCTTCGGGGCACCAACCCTCCGAGGACCATAGGGTCGAACATGCGCAGGCCTATCACACGTTTCAACGTGTGTAGGAGCTGAGGGCTCATGATCACCGGCTGTCCTACCTAAAATGACAATAGCCATTTCAATGAAAAAGAGCTGTCATTTATGGAAAATGAAAATTAAAAGAGATAGGACAAACCAGTATCGAAGTCCCCTCTGCCGGTATCCACGTCCGCATACTCGTCCTCGGAGTTCTCGTCATCATCACCCGCAGGGAGAAGTTCTTCTTCGTCTGAGACAAGAGATTTGGCATGCCCTTTTCTCCGCTTCTGAGCAAGCTCAGCTCTGCGACCAGCCATCATAGCAGCCCGGACCGCATACTCGGACTGCAACTCTGAGAGGCTCCTCGCGCTGATGGACTCATATGCAGAAAGGAACCACTTGCAGCTGAGGAAAGTGATCAATGGCTTACGCCGGTACGAAGGAAGAGCAAAACGGGCTCCAGTACAGCCCACCATCGTCCATAGCCACGCTCGAACGCCATCAATCAATCCTCCCTCAACCCGCAGGCTGCGGCTCGGATTCCCGACATACAGTTGGTCATAGCCGAATTGTCGAGCAAAGCGGCAAGGGAGATAAGGCTCTATGTGGCACTGGTTCTTCACCCGAAGGACGAGATAGCCTACACGGATGTTCACTAACCACCGGAAGCAACCAGCGTCAAGAACGGTCCGGTCACTTCTAGGTTTCTCCTCATCAACCAGCACGTCGCCATAGCGACCTGAAAAGTGAGGGAAACACTTAAAGAACTCCCAACTCTTGCGGACCCGGAGCTCTCGCTGAACATCACTAAATTTGCTCCCAAACCATCTGCTCTGCTCCAACAATTGCATGAAGGGGACAGGGATGTCAACAACGCTGGGGGCCGACATCAAGTCGGGACGGTGAAGAACGAGCCACGCCATCAAATATGCGTAAGGGAGCTCAACCTTTGGGCAAACCAGCTCAGCTGATGGTTCAGAACCCATATGTGTAAAACTGCTAACCAGACCCCTGAGCCCGCAATGGATACTAGCAACCATTGCTGGGAGCAGGGAAAGCTCTCTCCCATAAGCCAGCTGAACTGCAGGGAAGAGCACCTCGATGGGTAGAGCGTCAGAAGGTTGGTGCGGGACGACACACTTCTTCAACCAAAGGGCAAGGTAGCCTGCTAATAGCGCCCGGGACCCTATAGACCTCTGTGCGCGGCGGAGAAAAGAGCGAAACTTTGTCCCCGCGGGAAAAGCCCCCTCAGCACTGCCGATAGTGTAGGAACGAACCTCAGCCTTTTCCAACAACTCATTAACGGCCGAAGGAGTCATCACGTCTAATTCATGAATGGGCGCACTGGAATCACCTTCCAAGTTCTGGAACAAGTAGCTGGCAAACTGCTTCAAGCTGATCTGCCTCTTCCTTCTCGCTTGGGGAGAAGTTTGGATCAAGGAAGTGTAGTAGTGGCAAGTAAGATCCCAGAGTGTGTCATACATGTCCGGAGTATCTTTCTTCATACACTCCAGCTGCTGGTTCGTAGGGAAGTACTCCTGATACGGACAGTCCCCCATCGGAAGACCCGAAACATAATGCATCTCGTGCAAGGCCAACCCTAGCTCACCTCCGCTGGTCAGGAAGGTGTTGCTATCGGGCACATAAGTCTCCAGCAAAGCCAAGAAATGGCGACAGCTGACTGGGATGCCGTACATAGTAGCTCGTATGGGTGCATACAACCCACTGCTCTTCAGATCCCTCTCCCAGCGCGCCAAGACGAAACCAGTCATGCGCGCCCACCACCCTTTGGCTAGGGAGGAAGCCCAGCCATAACATCTGTACTCCGATGGGGGTAACTGTCTCCCAAGAAGAGCCAGACGGTTGCTCACAGTCGGAGCAGCAGCTGACACCTCGCCTGGGGGTGCAGTATCAAGACCCATGATCCCGGGTCGTAGACCACGCACGTCATGATACCCCTCAGAGCCAGGAGTCTTATGGTGAGTAGCATATCCGCATTGAACCCGATCAGCATCTTCAGTAAGATGCCAAGACATCTGCCGGTCCACGGCTTGCCCCTTCAAATGACTGAAAGAATAGTGGCGTGGAATCGAAGGGATGTACAAACAGGCTCCACCGTCAAGAGTTAACCAATGCTCCTCACAAAGAGTCAGCGTGGCAGGATCCCTGACATGATCTCCAAATAGAAAACCCGGCTTCTTTAGAACCTGAGTGGAAGTAGAATCAGGGGTGAAGGAGGCATCTGTGATAAGTTGGCGCAAGCAATGGCGCCCTCCTTCCTGTATCGAACGGCAAGAGTCATTTGGACGATCCCCGTCGAACCGAGGAAGTGGGCCAACAGCCTGCCTAAGAGTAGCGGAAGAGAAAACCTCCCGACTACATCCGGTGTTGGCGTGAGGAGGAAGGCTACCCGCGGGAAATTCCACTGCAATAAAGCACAAGGGCGGAATCAGAAAATCCATCTCGTAAGAAGAATGATAGACTCATCCACGGAATAATTGGAGAGACGATTTTGAGTGACCTACACCAGAAGGACGGCATGCGTCATCACGTGAATAACGTGGTAACGTACACCGACCTATAAGGTGTAGGACAACACAAAATCGCCCCAATATATCCGAAGACTTGAATTGGCTAAGCAAAACAAGTCTGAAACCTTACCCTCCGCGAGAGAGGTATCGGTTCTTCCTTCATGACCCGCAAAGAGGTCAATCAGGGATGTAAGACAAAATCTCTGCATAAATTCTCACCCCCGAAAAATGAAGCCGCGGGAGAGGATGTCGTGGGGACCTCCTCCTCACTATGCTGTGAACGAGAACGGCTCCTCCGGGGACGAGATCGACGCGGAGACATTGCAAATCTGCAACGAAAAGCAGCAAGTCAGGTACAATCTAAAACATGAATATACGAAATTTAAAAGGGAAATTAAGAACTTTAATTAAAATCCTATACACAAATAGGATTTCATAATTGAAGTCTAATTAAACCTACAAATTTCGTGCACGATGATTGTCATCTTTCACGGTGAATTTTGGTGAAATACCCAAAATACCCTTTGTGTTCAAGGCCAAAATCTAGGTCAAGGACACGCGTGACCCGGGTCATGATCGTCACATTCGATCATATAACACCCCGGTACCCCACAATTTTGGTTAAAATTTGCAAATGAGCCCTTTTGCAGAATTCAGCCAATTTTGCATAAAAGCCCCTCTACAAAATCTTGGTTTGGGCTCCACATGCCTTATCAAAATTTTGATCATGAGTTCGTGGTCAAAACTCATTGGATTTCAGCCATAAGTTCACTGCCTTTTGCAAATAAGTCCCTCTAAGACATTTATGGGCTGTTTTGCAAATAAACCCCTCCAACAACTTTTGGTCCTCTTGCCTAAAATACCCCTCAAGCTTGTGGCCAAATGAACATGTAATTTAGGTCCTAAACTTCAGTCCTCTATTACATGAACACCACCCCAATTCTTCGGCCACTTTTGCAAATAAGCCCCCAAAACTTTTCGGCCCCACATTTGCACATAAAACCCTCAATAAGGTATGGTCTTTTTGCATGAAACACCCATCCAAATTGTTACCAAAGGGGAATGAAATCCAAGCCTCAAAATTTCAGTCCCATTTTGCAAATAAACCCCCACGAATTTTGCAAATAAACCCCCCAAAGTTTCGGCCATTACCTCTTTTTGCACAAAACCCCCCGAAATAATAGTGCATACATGCCCCCTAGTCTACCACAAGAATAAAAATGCAACCTTTACCACAAAATAAGAGGATGGTGAAGAGGAGCTTACCCAAATCAAGAGGCTTGAAATCCCCAATCCAAGAGTCAAGATCCGAGCTTGAAGGTGGAGGGAGAAACCCTAGTGAAAAGTGAAAATTTTCGGCCAAGAAGGAGCATACAAAAAACCGAATTTCTTTGGGGTATGGAGCTCTTGAAAGAAAAACAATGGAGGAGGTTTGGAGGAAGAAGATGAATTCTCTTTTGAAAAGAGGGGGGAAAACAAAAGGGGAAACAAATTCAAACAAGAAAGAAAACAAAGAGGGGGGAAACAAAATGAAGAAAAAGACAAAAGGGGGGGGG